TCTAATGTTGTTGCCTATATTCTTAACTGTAGTGCAAATGCTGTCTAAATATAGTAATAGTGAATTATTAATTCCTGGTTGTAGCTGACATTTGTACCCGTCTTCTATTAATTAGAATCATACATCCAAGGTGATTGGCAATTGTGTTTGCTCTTAATTGTTACTCCCTCCCTCTCCACTACCCCCAGTCCCCTTGACACCTTTGAATGTTGGTAAAGAAGCAGAAGTTGGTGGACATTTTCCTAATACCGTTCATTTTGAAATATTGATTGTTGTTGCTAGATCACCTTAATGACTATATTTTGCTCACCTTCATGACCAAGTCCAGCCTTGTCAGAGGATTGTTAATCTACCTTTCATTGTTTAAGAGTTTAACTTATATTTTGGCATTATTATCTCTTTTTTCCTTGAAGCAGCATTACTGAAATTTCATTTTTTATCACACGCATAACTACAGTTTAGGGTCATCAACGAAATAAAAAATATTACTACTCTTGGGCGGTACTTCTATCTGCCTATGCCTGTAATATTAGCCTAGTATTTACAGTCACCTTTTTATCTTCTTAGACTAGTCCTATGCTTATCTAGAAAAATAAAAAAAGGAAATTGCTATAGTCATCATCTAGTTACATTTGATCATCCGTGATTAAAATTGCAGGAAGGATTTGCTTTTGCTCATTGTACCACATGTAAGGCCCCTTACCATTTGAGAGTACATGCTGTTGCTGACAGGAAATGGCGAACCCTGAAATTTCGATTTTTTGTGACTAGAGACATTGTATTTATATTTTTGGCGGTTCAGCTTGTAAGTTTTATGTTTTCTATTCAATTTGTTGCAAATCAATTTATGTTCTAGCAGTTGATTATACTTATTTGTAATATTTATCTTTGTGCAGGTAATTGCTTCTCTGGGATATTTGACGCATTTTGTAGATGGTTTTCAACATTACTGGCTTCGTCTTACGTGGGGTTTTGATAACAAAATTAGTTTTTATTACATATGTGGTAAAATCTCAATAAGCTGATTCAAGATTTGCATGCATAATTTATGTTATAACAGTAGGGCGTAAGTTTGTTTGGCTTCAGGCAGTTTGGCTTAGTCGCCTTGTTTGCTGGTCTGTTTGGAGTGCTTCTGACTTTGAACTGTGCTTATCAAAAGAACTTTTAGCAGAAGATCTTTGATGACAAAAAATAATCTACTTGTTTAATTCTGACATTTTAAGTACTTTTACTTTAGTTAGAACGAAGTCCCTTTATTCTTTCTTTAATTAGTATTTTAAGAATTGATAAGTTACCAGAAGGGATGTATCCAAAGTTGCAAGAAGATATGATACACAAGAAGAATTGTTGAGAGAGGTTACGTTTGTATAGAGAAGTTAACGGCGAGAGGAAGTATGAGCTGGATGGGTGTTGAGAGTATGGAAAAAAGGTTAGTGAGATAAAGTTTGGCAATAGAAGGGAAAGTTCTATTTTTTTCGTGTCATAGAAACTAATGAAAGTGTGAGGGTACAGAACAACAGCTTAAAAGAATGTTCTCATTACATGATCACATGTTTTGATTCATGTTGTTGAACCCCATAAGAAGGAAGTATTGAATGGTTTATGGCCTTTTACTGTAATCATAATAACAGTTTTATATTTTATCTACTTGAACATCGCCTATAAATTTTATTTCTATGCAGGAGCTTTATTATTTTTTGCATTGCTCGGCTTATCTGGATGCTTCATCACGTGTTATGATCGGAGAGTTAGGAATGATTTGGCTCAGCCATGTAGAGAATTGTGTCTATGTTGTTGCCACCCTGGGTATAAATCTATTGTTTCACAGTTTCTTTTGGCTTTACGTTTAAAATTATTATTTCCTTATCATAAAAATTCTTGTTGAGGAGTTTAGGCTCGTTCTTTAAGGTATGACTCTCATGCAGTGATGTTTCTCTAACTCAACTGATTTTTCTCTGTTCTGCTTCCCGTCCAATTGTAATTGAAAGAATATTGATGAACCGTAGTATAGAATATTTGACATTTAGCCAAGCTGGGAATTCGTTCAAGCTCTGTTAGAATAATGACAAAATACCTTGTCCAAGTTCTTTATATCTTTCTCCATCAAATTATAGTTTAAATGTTGGAAATGTTTTGCAAAAATAGTACTTTTATGTGTTGGAAATGTTTTGCAAAAATAGTACTTTTATGTGTTGGAAATGTTGGAAAGGTTATTCAGCATTCTCATGTTTTTTATGTGTTTTCTTATATCTTTGCAGACTATGTGCTGACTGTCATTTGCCTGGTACTCTTTGTATGTGGACTGACTGCACCACTTGCTTCGAAAGTTGTGGAAGCATAGCAACCGAATGTGGATGCCTAGGAGGTGCTGGTGAAGCAGGACTGCCACTATTATTTATAATGGCCTTGATTGTTCTTGGTTTGTTCACAGTGATTGGTATCTTCTACAGCGTCTTGGTAGCTACCATGGTTGGACAACGAATATGGCAACGACACTATCACATACTTGCAAAAAGAATGCTTACAAAGGTGAGTTGGCTGATCTCTTTTGAGCTGCGCATGCGCATAACTTTCAATGATGCACTGATCTAGGAGGGTAAATACTTGAATATGGCTTATTTTCTATATAATAGACTAACTGTTGAAATAAACAGAACCAACTGGATTTGGCTGAGTTAGAGATATCATTTTGAAAAGTGTTTTAAAGTGGAGCTTTTATTTTGTAAGCAAAAGTGATTAAACGTTTCATCTAAAAGCTCTTTAAGCGCTTTTTATCTACTTTTAGAAATTTTCAAACTACTTTGATTATCAAAAAAATTAAAAGTGTTCTGCATTGGTCAGAACAAAAGTGCTCTTAAAATTTTTGCTAAACCCTACCAATTAGAAGGGAAAAAAAAAATCTATTCGTCTTCCAAACACGTCCCTCAAAAAAGGAATGCAAAGTCAACATCATTGATGGAGGTGGGTGCCCCTAAGCACATTCATATTCATGAGGTCTGTCGTATTAATCAGTGGGTAGGAAAATGTTGGACATGACCTCCATCTTTTGGGGAAGAAAGTATAACAGGAGTGTGGGGGACACTAATGGTTCAATATCAAATACTATATTCTGATGATTGGTTTGTTTATGAATCTGCTGTTTTCTTCTTTTTTAGGTCCAACCATTTCAGGGTTGGTTATTGAACATCTACCTTTCGATTATAATAATTGATTTCTTATCCACTGTGGTCTCGACTGTGTTTGGGACCATAAATTTTCGTTTCTTAATACGCTCTGATTCCTCTCAGGAATATGTTGTGGAAGATGTAGATGGGGAGATGACAGGATCTGAGTGGTTACCTCCACCACTTCCAGCTGAGCACGTTCAACAACTGAAAACTCTTGGCCTTTTATGAAATGAAATGGGTCACTCTTCATATTCCCCCGGAAGAGTATATCTGTTCAAAGCCTGAACTGACCATAATGCTTTTGCTTCTCACTTGCAGATCTTTAATTCGGACCAAGAAAGTCCCATACGTATACACATAATACTTAGCCTCTGCATTTCGTCTGTATGGTTAGACTGCCTAGTTTTTATCTTTTCAGTGTGAGAAAATGGCAACGAATTTGAATACCCACAGTGAAAACTGACGGTCTAAAGCTATATTAAAGTGTTTTTGTGAATTGACTGCTCTTTTACTTCCTTTTTCCTCTTTGTTTGAAATAATCAGGGAAAAAAAGGTACATTTTTCTTGTTTTTCATTTTTTTTTTAACAATAATTCCGTTTGGTTAGTTTTAAGTATGAGATGTCGACTCTCCACAATGGTATTATATTGTCCACTTTGAGTATAAGCTCTTATGACTTTGTTTTGGGCTTCTCCAAAGGACTTCATACTAATGGAGAGAGTATTCTTTTATTATAAATCCATAATCATTCTCTAAATTAACTGGTAGATGATCGTTCTTTAAACGCCAATAATTATTACTACATTCGTTGAATTTTTAATTATAAATAGGCTGATAAAGAAATGTTGGAGGTTTTCTTTCTTGTATATATATATTTTTATATAAAAGTATAATTTAGTTCTAAAACTGTACTAAAAATGGTTACGAATTAAAAGTAATTGATTGAAATTTCTGTATAATTTATGACAGCCTTGTCATTATTGTCATTATCATCATGAATTTATAAGACTAAAACTACATTAAGTTATTTATATTATATTTAATATAAAAATAACGAAACAAAATACGTGGACTACCACCGACAGCTGCATGTAAACAACCTGTGATATGGTGCCAACGTCTTCTGAACACGAATTAATTATCCGTCAATTTTATTATTATTGTTTAAGACGAATAGTAATTAGACACGTATTACTTACATACATCTGACGTGTTAAGCATTGTCAGTGATGTGGTTTTGGTTTTGAGATCAAAACCATTTGCTGAGTTTGGCGGTTTTGATTCTCAGAAACCACTTTCTTGTTGCCATTAATTCCTATACCAATAACAAGAAAACGGGTCCCTAAAGTACCACAGAAAAAGGAATAACCACATGCTTCTATATGAATTTTCCTTTTTAAATTTAATTTTATATCTAATTTATTTATTATATTAAAATACGTAAATATTTTTTAGAATTTGATGTCTAATATGTCCATTATATATAATTTAATTAAGAATTGGTATATGTATGGGTATGAAATGTGAAAAGAATAACCAAGGGACTTTTTTTTTTTCCCCCCAAATCCCAAACTTTGTCATCAAGAAATCCTTTATTTTGTAGTATCCGAAAGAGCCTTCAATAAAATATACAAATCTATTCATCCATAGAAAAGTGAAAGCAAAATGCCCAAGAAACCAGACTCAGTCACCGGTCCACCTTTTTCATACACTACACCGACTTGTCAGCCTTATCCATAATCATCCCCCGATTTGAATATAAATTATCTCCTCCCACGAAGAGGGCCACATCAAAATCAAGAGCGAGCTTCGAAAATCATAGCCATGGCGGATATTGCAATTCTTGTTGCAGAGGAATACGAGAGAAGGATGAAGAATCCAAGGCAAGTGCAGGAGACGCAAAAGCTTGAAGATTTGGGTTCTTGGGTTTCCATCTCTGCAACTGCTTCGGCGATTAGGATGAAGAAGATGATGGAAATAGCAAAACAAAATGCTGAGATGACGGAATTCAAATGGGTTTTCGACCCCAAATCCCAAATTGGCCGAGCCGCTTCCACCGGATTCTTCTCCGCCTGAGTTCCTTCCGGCCATTATGTTATATATATACTGTAATTCTTTCTCGTCTCGTCTGTCTATCTGATTTGTACAGTGTTTGTAATCTTATTATTCTCTGGAAATGCTTTTGGATTTGGATTAGCCATTTGAATGTTGGAAGAAAGAAGATCGATGATTTGGATTTCAAGAAATCGCCAAAAGTTCATAAGGATGCTTTCTGAATCTGCTATGGTGGATTCACGAGTCGCTGTACCTTTTTTTTTTTTTTTTTTTTGTGGGGAATTGAATTGATTATGATTTGATTGAATACTATAGTAACAGTTCAATTCTACAATCTTTTTGAATTAAGAGTGTAAATCAAATCAAATCGTTCTAAAGTTTCTTACGGTGACAAAATATCATAATATCTTCAGATATTGATATTTCCACAATCTCCACATTTCTATTGTTATCAATAAATTTAAATGGGTCACAAAGTATCTGCAACTAATTGCAAAAGTGTACTCCCACACAAATTACAATCATAACAATCGACTATTTTCTTAGAACTTTTCAGTTATTCACTGTACAAAAAATAACGGTTAATCTTTATAATCATGAACTGTATAATTATATAAATGTTAGACCATCCAGAATGTCCCTTATTTTCGGCCCCAAACCAAGCTTACAGATAATTGTTGCCGGCAGCTGTCACAACATAGAATGATAGGCATGTTATAAAAGATTCCTTATGATTTTAAAATCACGGATATAACAGCTATCAATCAAATCATCAAATCATCAAATCATCAAATCAATTCTATCTTCATCAGATAATCTAACACAAATTAATCTCAAAATAAACGAGTATAATTCAAAGCACCAAGAACATAATGCTAAAGTCCAGCAGCCCTGGTTACCGCTAATTTTCAAATGGGATCAGTTGCATCTAACCAAACTCATGGCCAGAACAGATGCGCTCTTTTGGTTTGGTACTATTACTCAACAATCTGGTATTAAATGTCAAATCTTTTACAATTTCCTTTCCCTGCACCACCAGATCTAGCCTGCTCCCTTTCGACTTATTGCAAGTGCCCGACGTACAGAACATTTAGGAGAGGAAATTTTTCGAACTTAATCTCAGGAACAATCCTGAAGACAGTGGGAAGGTATTTGGGTTCACCATATAAAACTTGATTCTGAGAATGCTAAAGTTGTTATTCCTTGAACTACGCAATATAACCTTAATAATACAAGTCACCTGATCCAATCATGGTTCTTAAAAATTGTTTTATCAGACCAGGCTGCTAATTAAGCATGTCCTCAATTTCCCTCATCTTTTGGTGGGTGTTCAAGAGTTGGAGGAGGATTGAAGAAAATGGGCAACACAAAAACACATAAGATTGGGGCTTAACTATAGAGAAGATGAGCTAAATCAGTTTGTTAGAGCCTACAAACAGAGCCTTTGGTCCTCCTCCTACCATCTCCACCTAAACCCCCATGGAAACATCAAGGGAAAACCAACAAATTTTGCTTTTTCTTTCAACTTATGTTCTTAATAAATGCCGTCAAGTACCATTCTAGTTACCCTGTAAAAGCCCCCCATAAATTAGACCACCAACTCGCATCTACTATAATTATAAGTGGCATAATATCCCCCGGCCCTACAGAGACAATAAGCCTCCATCAAATGAGGCTAAGGGATCATCTAACTAACATCTTCAATTTTCTTAAAGATCCTTCGGATTAGCCCAAGTAAACTTCCGGATGGACAAAATATGCTATGATTTGGATGATTCTAGAGCAGGTTTCAGTGTCTTATTGGGAACAAAGGTCCCCCCCCCCCAAAAAAAGAAAAATATCAAGAAGTAAATTGGCTGTCCCCAGAATTAATGATATTCGTTGACGAATAACCAGGAAGAGTAGGAAGCAATCATGCAAACGAAGTATCAAACAGTTGGCTTGCGTAATTGCAAGAGAAGCATACACGATTTATCGCGATCTGGCTCCTGATCAATCGAACCAGAAACGAGCTGTTCCCTAACGCTATTGTTCGTCAGTGAAAGGAGAAAACAATATTTCCTAGTTAATACAGAAAATCAAGATTCTATGGTATTTGATTCTATTCTGTGATGAACAAAATGAAATTGGTATTTCGCCCTAGAAAAACCTATATATACTGTTACCATGTAATGCCGATAACAAAAAGATCAGCTCCTCGTCGCTGCCGTCGTACTCTACACGGTCTCGCAGCCTGCGGTAACCGGCAACAATATCGTCCGGCAAAACCTTACACCGGCAAAGCGGACAGGTAGCAAAAAAGAGTTTCAACCAATTATCGAGGCAATCCTTGTGAAAAGTATGGTTGCATTGCAATTTCCGTACCATCTCCCCTTCCTCAAATTCAGAGAGGCAAACGGCGCACTGATCGTCCGAACTCGAGGTAACTTTCTTGGAGAATCGGATGGTCGGATTCTTCTCCTCGATCAATTTCAAAAACTGCGCCGTCGTAATTACGCGCTTGTCGGCGTTAGGTCTCAAACCAAAGATGGTGCGAATGAGAGTAACGCATTCGAGAAGTAAAAGGGTGATGAAGACTGCGGTCATTGTGTGGAGGTGGGAGAAGAACTCGGAGAGAGCTCCCATGGCTTCGGGATGGAAATTGGCGGATAGTTTCCACTGATTCAATTGTTTTAATTTTATAATATTTCGAAAAAAAATCGTCCCTGCACTACCTTCTTTTTATTTTCTTTCTTTTTCTTTTTTTAAAATATTCACTCCCGTAATTACAGAATTTCTGCAACCAACCTCGGTTCCATACACGTGGATTTGCTAAAACCGTGTTTTCTAGATAAGCCGGGATGTTTTTTTTTTCCTCTCCTTTTCTTTTCTATTTTTAATATTTTTTAAATGAAACTTGTTAAATTAAAACCGGTTATATCAAAGTCACGATCGATATCGTCACTATCATTAATATAATCCTTTCCATATGTTACTGTCACAACAAATGTATAATGGTAGTATTAAAAGACTCAATTATGTTTTTATAAATTTTTAAAACATAACTATATTGTGTGCATTAAAAACTAAGGCAATACACGCTGTTCTCCAAATTGAGTATAACTCAATAAATCAAGGATTAATTACCATTTTAAAGATCCGTACGTCGTTGAATTACAAAAATAAAAAAATAACATAAAGTCAACTAACTTAGGTTCATAGGGCTCAAGCCTCCTCACCTGTCTCTCAAATTGACCTTTGACCAAATGGCGCACGTGTTCCACTTAATTTCTAGCCCCTATTGGAATTCAATTTTTCTCAAGTTTTAATTAACTTTTATTAATAAAGTTAACAAGCACACCCCAATCAAGTCCCAACTTAGACACATTTGAAATTTTGATCAAGACATGTATAAGACAACAAAACATACACATATATGTATAACGCTTAATTGCAGTTTTTAGATACATCGCATACACAGAATTTGTCACGGTTTAAAACATTAATATTTGATTTATTATAGTAAGTTATTATATCCGGACTAAAAAAAACAAGAAAATCTCGGTCCGCAATGTAAAAAAATTAAAAAGAATATACCTATAGTCTGTCATTCCCAAAATATTGACATTCAAATCATGATTTCTTCCAAAAACTAGCAACAAGATTCCATTTATATCATTTAATAATATTTTTTTACTTTTTTTATTTTTATTTTGTTGATATAAGCAAGTCAGCCCTAACTTTTAGAGCTTTCATTAAATAAATTAAATGTAATGACGTGTCATTTTTCACCAACAAATAAATGGAATTAAAAATTAAAAAAAAATCTGACTTTTCGTGTCCGAGGCTACTATGTTTTTATTAACTAGACTACCTTAAAACAAAACTATAAAAAAAACACTCATATTAATAAAAATAATTGTTACTAGAGTTTCTCTAAATTAGTTGGCATGAGTATTTTTTTTTCTTATAAATTCATAACCATTCCCTAAATTAGCCGATGTACCTCATCTCGAACAGAGTGAGGAGGCTCGACTCCTTTTTTTTTTAGTTCTTTGTTTGACATTTGAGGATTTACCAATCTATTGACACGACTAAGTTTAGGGCATGACTCTGATACCATATAAGGAGTCCTTTGTTTGACATTTGAGGATTTACCAATCTATTGGCACGACTAAATTTATGGCATGACTCTGATACTATGTTAGATGAACACGACTCTCCACAATAGTATGATATTGTTCACTTTAAGTATAAACTCTCATGGTTTTGCTTTGAGCTTCCCCAAAAGCCCTCAGACCAATTGAGAGTATTCTTTGTTTATAAACCTTTCATTTCCTAAATTAGCTGATCTGGGACTTCCAACATCGAACGCGGTCTAATATGATATTAATTTTTGTATTTGAAAATGTTTTTTTAATAATTATTACGTCATGGGTGTGAAATAAACCTCCCTGATTTTATCCTCGACAGCTGTTGTAAAATAATTGAAATTATTAGTTTATTTTATTTATTATTGGTATTGTGGGCCGACAAAATGGACTGAGACAGGATCCATCGGACTCATTCGATGGTCCACAACAACACGTCGGCCCATCTTACCGAAATTACCATTTCCGTCAGAGGACAGCGTTTGAAAATTTGACCTTTCAAACGCCACGTGGAATACATTCATTGGTGGGTTTGGGCGGAAGACGGTAGAGAAAATGGATTTAAACCTAACCTAATCTTTACCATATATTGTTGAATAGAAAATCAAAGGCGGCGACAAACAGTAACAGCAAAAGGAAGAAAAAGGCAGACAACCCAATCTCATTCCCGATCTGTCTTAGCTTAATGCAAATTCCGTACTCCGTAACACAGGCGTACTTCCCTTCATTATATTGTTTCAAATATCAATTAGTACATTAATAAAATGAAACCATATCTAATTTCATATAAACTAAGAAGATCCGGACATCAATTATTAAACCCCTCGCCACAATTTGAGTGGGACTTCCACCTTTTTTTTTTAAGTGCAAATGTAATAATGACAAATCAAATAATTTCAAGATCTTTTTTTTATTTTTAATTTTTAAAAAGGGTATCTTCACGCTCCACGATTCAGATTGTGACCACCGAGTCTTATCTCCCCCGGATCTAATTTCCTTATTAAAAAACACATAGGCTTCACTTTTTAAGTACCCGCCACTTACCAACTGACACGTCAGCACAGCTTTGCCTCGCCCTCTATTATAATATATTTTTTAGCTGACGTGGCGATCTCATAATCGGCATTCTGTGTGTGGCCGCACCAAATGGAAACCTTTTTTTTTTTTTTTAAATTATATTTTTTACTTTTTTTTTTTTAAGTGTCCCAAGAGCTTGGGGTTTTCCCACCGTTTTTCTCCGTCTATCTGTGTACTTCTAAAACCATCTGGTAAACGGTAAACGGTGGTTAGTTGTCTGTCTCTCAACCGTTTTCTCCGCGTTGAAATTAAAAAATTCCATCATTATGCATCTAATAATTGATTATTCTACTCTACATTTCTTCCTTTTTTTATTCTTTCCTATTTTTTTAATCTATTATTACTTGATTTCGTCATTATCATCCATTTTTTAAAATTACATAATATAATTAAAACCTACTATGCTTAATTGTCGATATTATACTCGAATTAATGAATTTTATCTATCTTTTAAATTGAATTAAATGGTAAAATTTTATTTAAATCTTTTTGAAATATAAGAAACAACCGAAGTTGAAAAGTCAAATATATATCTAACTTTATAAATTGGACTTATATCGTTTGAAGTTAGTTTTAATTTAGTCTTTCCCGAATACGATATATATATATATATATATATATATTTTTTTTTTTTTTTTTTTTTTT